ACAGCATTCGGGCACTATGATGTTGATCGCATTTGTCCAAACCTTTGTCTTCCCAGAAGTGAGCCTCTTTGGCAACCGACAGATGAACATCAAAAAACGATAGACGTCTGTGGACAAATTCTTTATGCCATGCCTGGAACGTGCAGGGTCTACGGGAAAGGTATCTATGACCATGAGTTCGTGTAGGTTCCAAAACCGTCTCTATTAATAATACATAAATCATGCACAATCGGTTTTACACTTAAATTTTCTCAGTTGTGAGTGCATAACTTCGGCTTATCGGTGGATCACGGATCCAGGGAAAATTGTAGCAGGACAGTTTCCCCGATGTGAACCGAAGGAGGTGGAATTTGAAAAATTACCGTCAGGAGCTTCGAAAAAGTTCCCATGCTCGAACGCAGAGTTCGAGTATTTTTGCAATATTGGTGGATCTAAAGAGTAAAGTGATATATTTATTCTGTGCATTAATATAAAAAATCCATAATTTATTCATATCTTTTAAAGGTGTTTTTTTAAGAACTCGAGGGAGCTATTTCAAGGTAAGAATATGACAGTTACCAAAACAACACTATGGCCGACATGCATTTGTAAGGAGGGTTATTCGGGAGTTAGGTGTGATCGGCGCCTAAATGTTTGTGAAGATCCACTGCCAATCACTGAAAAAGAACTGGACGAACTCAAAAAGAAAATTCGAGGTAAATATGTCAAAAAGACATTTTTCAACAAAGAACATTTTATTTTGTTTAGTCAATTATACCAGTGAAAAAAACAATAATTTTCAAAAGAAACTATAAAGAGTATAAAGCTCAGCTTTAAGTCAAAAGTCAAAGGCAAATTTCTGTTTGAATTTCTGTTAGGCAAGTATTTTTTACAATAAAGTCACTATGACATCGAAGTTAAATTTACTTTCTGAAATTTCTAGTTCTTTTTGGGAAAGCTGGAACATAATTTCAATTAAATAATGATTATTAATCCAATTTCAGGTTTACCCAGTACAATCACAGCAAACTGGCTTTGCGAAGGTTATTTGCCAAATGCCAATTGCTTACCGGATCATTCTAACAATGGCAAGTATTTCTATTATCTTCGATAGGACAGAATGTTTATAAATGAAATTGCTATTCATTCACCTGCTATTGTGGGCTTAGTTTTGAAAAAATCTTTCTAATTTCCTGAAATCATATATTTAGGAAAATATAAATATCGATGTGAATGCAGAAAGGGTTCAAAACGCGATTCTAATTATCTTGGCTTGGATAATTGCCGTCTACGGTCAGAAATTCGAAATGATAATATATTGAAAGTTGCGATATGCCCACCTGGATACGCTGGCGATAACTGCGACAGAACAATAAACGCTTGGTCAAGTGAGTTGAATTTATAAGCATGAGGCGTTGAGTTCATGACATTGAATACGTTGAGACGATTAAACGAATAAATACCTAATAGAATAATTTTTTGAGTGGGAAAGCAAAGAAAGCTAAGCCAACATTTTTCGCACTATTACAGAGTATGAATAGGTACTTAATTTATCGATAACCATACTTGTCAGATATAGGAGTATTCACTTCAATATTAGTGTTCATTATTTATATTGCAAATAATAAATTTTAGATTGGTCAGAATGGGGTGAATGCTATCCTCATTGCGGAGACCATCGACAACGTAATAAAAGGCGGCTTTGTCTAGGCGATTTTGGATGCGCAGGAAGTACATACGCAACACAGCAATGTGAACCTTATCCGTGCACTAAATTACGTGAATCAGAACGAAAAACAAAGACCCAACTGTATGAACGGGAATATCTGGAAAATGGAGGATTTAATGTTTCGACACTAGCTGAAACCATTTTTCTGATAATAATCTTTACATTACTTGTACAAATTGCAGCGGTTACGTTGAACCTATGTGTATTTTGGAACACAGAGGGTAGAAAAGCACGTCAAAATAAAAATAAAGAAAAATAAATGTGCTTCCATTTGGAAAACTTAGTTGATTATTAAAGATTTAAAAAATTTCATAATTGTTCGACATGAAATATTGTAATTTATTTTTACATTTTGATGGGTAATGAAAAAAAATAATAAAATATACATTAATCACAGATAAATGTCTTATCAATTTGATATATAAGAATGTAATTTATTCCATAAATGCTGTCAATGATGCAGGAAAATTCAAACACCCATTGGCTAATACAATACTGACTTCTAATTGGTTAGTACCATATAACCTGAAAGTGCATTGCGTTTTCAGATTTGTAATTTGAAATCTTGCGAGGTAATCTTGTGCTACGATTGAGGTCTGATAATTAATTAGTATGTTTTGGCATTTAAATAGTGCAATTATATTGATTTATATAATAAGTATTCGAAATTTTGGGATTTCAATTTGTTTTCTACCCTAATTAATGGGTGTACTCGTTTTTATTGTTGAAAATTATTAATTTTACTTTTTAGGACTTTGTTCCATGAATTGCAGTAATAACCATAATAATATCATTCCCACAAACATTGTGGGGTCTGGAATTTCAATGACCAGGCCTCAGCCCGTGTCCCGGACACAAATCGCTCCTAATTCAACTATTCCCGTTCCTAGATTTCCGTGTAAGTATTTCTTGCTGTCATATGCTACTCCTGTCTTATTTTTTATCCCATTTGCATTTCGGTATAAGTTAGGCATTAAATATATCTTTGCTGTTTATACTTGAGTACAATCTATTTCCCTTTGATCTAATTTTCGCTTTTGATTGTAGCTCGATTTATTAGGCGCGCCATTATTGATCGCTCACATGTTGCGTGCGTGTCTATGTGCTTTAACCTAATGCTGATAGGCCCATTTGCGTTTGCACCTTACTTTCGCATTTTTACTGGCCCTTTGTTTTTATTGGTTAGGTACGCTCGCTTGCCTGTGGTGTAGATGCATTGCTTGTCATCATTGGCTAAAATAGTATACCGTATAACCTTGCTCCATTTAGCCAATGAGACTCATAATGTGATCTAATTTTTTTACTTATTTTTTTTAATTGGCTATGATATATTTTTTTCTTCATGGCCAGCCGATGATATAATTTAATGTTTGTAAATTTATCCAGAATTTGCTAATCGGTTTCACTTTTTCTTCCACGTTTCCTGACTGATTTTCACTTTAGTTTTGACAAAATTTGTATAAGTTCAATAAGATGAATCGCTTTAAATAAAGGCTTCTTTTAAATTCTTTGTTTCATAAACGGAATTCGGGATAGATTGGTTTTTCTAATGTTGGTTTTTTAGCAGTTCGTCGTATTACTGGTGATCTCCAAATCTTGTTAGGTGAAGTATTCCCACCAATTGACTAGGATAGAGGGGGTAGTCATTCAGAATGCAGAAGAAATTTAGTCTACTCTGTAGTACCCTGTGGAGTTAGTTTTACAGCATCAAATCTGTATTAGTAAATGTTCATGCATAAAATGCGTTTGCGCATTGGTTGCTATTCATCTTCCGTGTTTTTGTAATTGATGTCAAATATTGGAAATTACGGAATTAAAATGCTTTAATGGAAATAGAAATGTCAAAAAGTGCAATATCATTTCTTGATTGAATGGTCACATTCATGTCCTCACCGAAGTCGGTCACAGCATAACACGGTTAATGTCCATTAAATGTTTTGTTCGTCTTCTAGAAAGCAATTCAATAGTAATTATTTTTTTATTTCTCCGGCCAGTCAACACTAATCCATTATGAAGTTTCTAACACGTGGTCTTGCAGTCATAAATTTTTGTTTTCACTTCTTCCTGGTTATTCACGTTTTATTATCCGTGATAGTTCATATTACAAGCGGACAATATTTGATTATCTAAACTCCAGTTGGTAGATTTAATGTTAATATTTGCTCATTTTGCGTTTTAGCGAATACTTTACAGTATGGCCAACTTCTCCTTCAAAATATATCTAGTCCTCGTCTTAAAAATCTACCAAAGGATCCAAATAGTATATTCACATCAGGAAATAATGTCAACGCCCTTGAGTTTGCGAACTTCGTCATGAGTAAGTTGAAGCAAACACCCCCCCCCCTCCTCTCTTCCACGTTAAGCTGTTAATCTAGCATTCTTGATATTGTTTTTTGCTCTCTTATAGGAACAATCAGAAATCCAACATGTCAGCGAGCTCTTAATTTCTACCCTATGAACAAAATTGATTCAGATGTGAACTTGCTAAGAGCAGTGAATAATGAAATTTGTAATGGTTATCTTTTTGGAATTTACTCCGAGTCACCCTTTCTACGGCCTGTCATGGTCCTAAGGGAGACAAAATTTGCCTATCCTTTCAACGCCTCCCCGCATTTCAGTGATTCGGATGGTTTGATTCGACAGTTGAAGGAAATAGCTGATTCTAAGTGCAATCCGCATGCCTTTCCAATCTTATGCAGCAATCCATGCAAATTCAGTGCCTCGAGTGTGGGCTTTGCTACCGATTTCATGACTCATTCCTTTAATCTTGAATTGGACGTGAGGCTCCTTCAGTATCTCAATGAGCAGTGTAAAAGGGAGACAACTATGAGGTGCGTTTATGATCTCACCAAATACCGATATTTCCCGTTTTGTATTTATAAAGCGTGTTTTTTGTGATTTTTAGAGGGGATCAATATAGAGTAGTATTGCGGCTTGGTTGGGCAACTACGCCACTGATCGCCTTCAAGACAGAGTCAAATGCTCATCGATTATTGACTGCCGATCAACTTCCAAGGTGTTTGACGGTTAAAGTTGGTCGAAGACAAGTTTCTCTACCCGATCCGGCATTTCATTGTGGGCAGGCAACTAAACTCGGTCATCGTTTGCGCTACTCTATTGATATCACCGACAGAGTGAGTTTATTAATTATACTTTTCTTCGTGCTACTGAAACTGCAAATGTCCTTTTTAAGTGCCATTTATGCATACCCATGAATTATTATTTATTTGTTTTTTTGGTGTTTAATTTTTTGATATTTCTACATATGGCATTTCCCATGTATGTACTTAATTACATTTCATCTCATTACGTAGATTAAATTTGTTTCAACGCTTTAAGACCGTTTTCTACAAGTTTGCATTTTAGTCACCTTTTTGAAAGATATGGAGCATTCAGGGATTGAAGTTAATTCCTCTAGGTTCTTGCGATTGTAAACTTGCTTAGAGTGATATTATGATTGACCTATAACCCCAGTGAGCATGGTTTTGGGAGCCCGTTGGCTCACATTTAGATGATTTTGCCTTCTAAACTTCATATTACAACCTATTTTCTCTCTAATTACAGTTATGCAATGACTTCAACGTTTATTATCAATCCGCGTCTTTGACGAGGAGATAATTTATGTGCCTGTAATTCTTAGTGGACATTCAAAGCATTTCGGTAGGCATTTAGCATTCAATGGTGGTAGGCGAATAGAAGATTGAATGTGTACTTATTGATTGGAGAACCTCTCTTCCATTGAAATGGGCCATTTCTCAAAATCGTACACCATGTTCTTCCCATATGGCAACGCAGTATGAACCGGAACCATTTGGGAGAAATAGATTAACTCATTTAGGTCGAATTTGGTCGGAAAGGAAATTCGGATTTATTAATAGCTTTACAGTTTATATGCAAATGCTTCTTGGGATGTCAGTAATGCCTTTACGTAGGTGTGCAGGTTTCTGTGCCAGATCCTGGATCTCTCGTATGAGGGATAATGATTAATCATTTCTAGTCGCCAGATATCAGAAATAACGCTGACAAACACGACTGCTTTGTCTCAGTGGGATCGATTTGCATCCAGGGTATGATCTCCCTAGGGTATATCAGCCTTAATAACATACGAGCGTCCGTTATGCGCTGTACCTCGTCAGCTCTAGTGATAGGCTGACTTCCAGCTGTTTATTATGTGAAAGATGTCTTTTCCAAGGGGAATGCTGCAGAGGAGGTTCGTCCGAGGTACTTTTTGAATTATTCTATTAAGAAGTCATGTTTCGATGCTTGTCTCCAGTGAATGCAATGTAATGAGTGGAATAAATACACTGAGGTCATTATCCAGTTTGAGGTTATTACGTATTTTTTAAGATTATTATATTATCGTTTGTTTTTACGATTAACTTCTCATTTGTAGAATTTGTTTACTACCAACCAGATGACTCACTACCTTGTCATCTTTATCCATTTTCCATCCTCCTTTATCCATACTTTTGCTAGTCACATGGTTGTCCTTCAACGTTTATATTCGCCAGTAATCTCATGGGAATTAGGACTCTTCGACAATCCATGATGAGTTACCTTTAAGATTGATCAAAATTGAAATTTATTGTGGTTAAATATTTATGATCTATCTTTAACATTTTAGGCCATACACCTTTTACTTCAAATACAACATTAGCAGCTACTTTAGTGGTGTTTTCAATAGCGCGCGGCTTCCAGCCTTCAGTAGCATTAGACATAACTGGTTGTGGTCTCTTTCCTTGCCAAGAAAAAAATGTTGGTCAGCAATCCATCTGGTACCAAATCATTGGTCTTCGTATCGTCATGGATTCGTAGTAGGCCATAACATATTTCCCTATTTCAAGTCATTATTGGCTGACCATATCAAATTATCCCAAACGATGTACGATGGTACTCGTTAAGTAGCTGCTTTTGGTCCCTGTTATGTCTCTCGTGTTTTCCGAAACTAAATTCTTCCGACTTCACTGTTATTCGGGACTAATCAAATCCATACATTTCTCATTTCTTGGATTTTCTATTGCAACCCATTTTTAAATTTTCCCATATGATACATGTCTGGAAAGCCTCGTGTGATTTCAAGTATCCTCTCATGCCCTGTTGGTTTATCTTATTATTTCTCTTTCAGCTCCAAACACGTCCGCAGAATTCGAATCGCCCGCGGAATATTGAGATTGAAATTGGCTGGGTCCAAGCCCCATTAGAAGACAGTGGTGTTGCATTGATGGAAGCTGTTGCCTCTGGACTAATAACTCCAGCAATCAACTGCCTCATTAACCTACCACTAATCCAAGTCACTCTAGATCGAGTGGAGACAGTGGAACGTATTGTCAAGTCTTTTGTTGACGCAAAACCTGGAGTTTCTACAGGTGAAGTGGAGTATCAACCTCAGCATCCTGGCTCTTTGGGAGAGTTCAACCTTCCTCCCTTCACACTTGACTCGGTTTCCGGTCTTTATCAGTTCTGTGTATCCTCTGAACGAGTTATCCCTAAACACGCTACACTGGTATGTCCCATTCTATTTAGTTTGATAAGTAAGCTTACATGGGATCATTATATTTGTCTTGATAGAAAATGTTGAAATCAAAATTGGACAATCAAGATGGAATCCAGTGCGAAAATTCATTCCCCGCGTCATTGAACTGTCCCCTAACGCTGCTCCGTATCCGGGTTATTTGAATATTTGTTACTTGCTTTAATATCCCATTTGTTTCAAAATGTGCAATAGTTTTGTTTCTTTTAGATTCCCGTCAAATCGTGTATTTGCACACATGTACAGTGCTTTGATCTGGAGGCGTTTTTAAAATCAGTGAAATGTCGGCCGAGGTGGAATTGTCCAGTTTGCAAAATTTCAGTTCCTTTCAGGGATCTTCGCAGAGACGAGTGAGTGTCATTTCACGTCAGATTTTTCCATGTAACTTATTTCCACCCTCGCCATCACTTCCCATTTACTGCTTATATTGGAAAGTAGTTTTCAATCAAAACGCAGAAATCGTGGTCCTTAAGTTCTTCAGTCCATGGGTTGTACAATTTTATGGATGCACATGTTCTAGAAGACGTGCAAGTTTTCTCGATTTGTGCGTTTTCACCTACTTTCGTCATTAGTAAAGGGGTCAGCAAAAACTTCAAATCTAGAGCACAGCTTCTAACTAGCACTTTTCCCTCAAAAAAAGAGCGATGAAAACTTGACTATATTACTTGACAGTGCACATTGTTGTTTAAGTGTTATCTACACTGCGTTGAACGGCAACAACAACGGCATAATTTCAATGTAATTTTGTTATCCACTCGAAAATTTAATCATTTTTATCTTAGGTTGTTTGAAGAACTTCTTCACGATCCTTTGCTCGCTTCTGTCAATCAAATCAAAATTGATGCCAGCGGGCGAGTCATTTACATTGAAAATGACCACGGAGAGGCACAGGGGTCTCAGATCAATCAAGATGTTGATACGAAAGAAATCTTAAGTCCACTCAAAATGGATCCATGTTTGTCAGTGGCGGTTCCATCTAAAAAATGTGGCTCTGAGGAGGTGATAATCATTGACGATAGTTCTGATGAGGAACAGGAACTACAACTACAGAACAGGACTAATGGGGAGGAGTCAAATGGATCTGACTATGTTCCTTCACTTCCTTCTGAAGTGACCACTGCGCAACCTGCTGCTGTCATTACTGAGATTCAACAACAGACATCAGCTATTGATTTGAATACCTTCAACAACCCCCTTCCTTTACCACGAATGGGTTCTCCCGCTTTCCCGCAACCACCACCATCTTTTTCTGCTCGTCCGATTGTGATCTCTCACAGAGCCCCCATCATTTCTGAGTAGGTTTCTAGGCTATTTTGATGGATTTTTACATTTTATGCAAGTTTATTCATCTAAAGACCATATCTTTGGGAAAGTTTATTATTTACTCACAATCTTGTTTGATTGTCCAGGGAGGTAGTAGACCTAACGTCAGACAATGATGACGACTTTGATATTCCGACAACTCGGGTTGAACAATTTCGTGAGGCTACATCAACAACTCAAACAGCTTCTCGTCCTATTTCACCTCCCATTATTCAACCACCTACACAACCACAGCCATCAACTACAGTATCAGCTCCTCTTCCCACTCCTCGTCCCTCTTATCTAGTCATTCCACCAGCACCACAGCAAACAGATCAGCTTCCCAAACAGACCCTCCCTGGTCCTGCTACAATTAGTGTAGCTCCTGCTGTTCCCAATCTAGCTCCTCGTGTCATTACTTCACTTAGCTCCATGGAAGGTACTCGATATGTCCTTGTTCCAACTACTCAGTCGAATTCTGGTGCAGCCCTCCACTCATGTGAGTGTACTTCTATTTACTACTTTGCTGTGCTAATATCCAAATTAGGAGTGCTTTATAATCGAATAGACCATTGATGAGGGGTTCCATTTCTCTTCTAATTGGTATTGACCTTGATCACTGCATTTTTGGTCATAAAACTGGCCATTGGAGATCTATCAGCATTGCATCTGTTAATTGTCTATAACTAGCCTTCATGACAACGGGATGGATGGAATTTGACTTTTGTCACGCCAATGTTTATGAATATAAATATTCAGAAAGTCAAGGGGTGGGAAACAGAAGAGCGATTCACAGATGTAAAAGAGTCGGACAGACACAAAGGTAGAGAAAAAGGCAAGATGAGTATCGGACAGACACAAAGGTAGAGAAAAAGGCAAGATGAGTACCGTGGAAGGGGTCGAATATGACAAGCAGTTGGGCCATGGCAGCTTGAAGTCAGAAGTCAACTGCAGATTAACAGACTCTTTTGCCGCATGAGTATACGTTGCCCAGGGTGCACCACGCGGAGGCAAGTCTATTGCACCCCAAAAAATGTCGGGTCACAGGGCAGGCGAAGTAGGGGTATTTTTATTTATTTGGAACGAATTAGCCCAGCCCCTAAGCCGACAATGGGTGACAAGTTGCGAGCACGCCAGGATACGAACCTGGAATTATTAGGTGATGCAACAGTCTTGGGTTTGGTTTATGGAGGGGTTATATATGCCTTGGCACTAAAGATTGACGACAACTAAGTTAATTTAGATGGATTGCATGCGGATCAAAAAGTTAGGTCTGATTGATTGAATTGGCATTATCCTGTATTGGTGAATTCCGAATCACTTGCTCACAGACTGTGGGAATACAAAGGATTCTCAAATTTCGAGGTTAATAGTGTGGCCGGGTAATCTATAACTGTTTATCATCTTTTAGGTGCTTCCTTTAAATGTATGATTTGTGCTGCGTTGTCTTGGGCTATGATTGCTTTCATAGATCCGCTTTTTACTGAAATTACTATGCTTTTACATATGTTAGGATGCTACTCGGTTAAATGCCTTTTTGGTTCTTGTTTGGAAAGTTAATTGAAATTGAAAGGGCTATATTTCGCGTGTTTAGATGACTTTAAGTTGATTTCATGGAAAAATTCTTTATTATCTGGGAGTGAATTTGTTGATGGTAGTTGGAATACCGTACCACATTCACATTATCAATTACGGAATGCAAAATTTGCTTCATTTTACACAATTTCAAGGATCAGTTTAAACAAATTTTGTCATGAAGAGAAGATTTATCGATGATACCCCTGATATTTTACGCAGCGCTGCTACAATCGCTTTTTATATGCGTGGCACAGTATGCACTTCTACCTAGTGGATAATTGAAGTATTGGTAGCTTCACTTCAATCGTAGATTTTTCTTGCTGCGAAGTTCGTCGAATTAACAATAGGCTACTTATTCTGATTTCAGTAGCTTAATTATTCTCTCAGCTTGTTGCTCGCTCAAACAACTTGTCTTGCTTTATTACGATTAACCTCTTTCCGTCATCTTGTAGTTCCCATTCCAATTCAAAAGAGTACGACAACCGTGAGTCCCCCTGTTGCTGCAGTTCCTGCTCAGCCAGTCATTACACCTTCAATATTAGGCCCGGGTCCAATGCAATCCCCACATTTAACCAATCTTCTCTCCTCTGGCTCTCCACAAAGCACTACTTCAACGAATGCTAGCCAGGACTCCACAGGTGGAGGTACTGGAGGGAGTTCGCGATCAAGTCGATTTAAGAGTACCACTAAACGCAGGGCTTCAAACTCCCAAGCCTCTGATGTTTCATCCTTAACAGTGGTAAGATTGTCATACCTTCAATTTAATTATTTATAACTACTTTTTTTGACCATGCAGAGTAGAATGGACGAGGAATGGGTGAAGGAACTATTAAAATAGGGATAATTAAATTATTTTCGTTTGCATTTTGGGTTCTATTAGGATGTCCAAGTAGACTTTCTAACTTCCGGCCGCATTGATGGATCATTAACAATTCCAATCATTATTAACGATCTTAATTGTAAAGCAAGGCAAAAATAGGGAAACTACTGGCTTGAAAGTGTTTGTAACTAAAAGGGCAACTCAGAGAATAATATTCGCGTTTTTTAGACTGTACCCACTACCTCACTGTCGTCAACTCCCAGTGATGTACAGCATGCACAATCATCGTTATCTTCTATCTCTGCTCATTTGCGTACACGTACCTCTGCTAGGCTGTCATCCAGTACTATACCGTCACCAGTTACTATACCTTCAAGAAATGTTGCCAGACGTGGAGGTGGAAGAAGCAACGCAGCAGGAGGAAAGCGACGTAGAGTTCATCTTGGAGACGAAGATGGATCTAATTCTGTTGCCTCTTCTTCTACAGGTGCTCCTTCCGAGGAAGTAAATTTTGAAGATGAGGAAGACGAGAATTTTGATTCGAATCAAGAGGATGAAGATGATAGTGATGACGAATGGACACCGAACAAATTAAATACGTCCACATCCAGTTCGACTCGTCGAAAAAATCCTCCGTCGGCTGTTGCTATTCTGGCTAAACGAAAGGCGACGACATCTGGGGCTCCTTCTGAAAGTTCCAGTTCTGGAAACAGTCGAAGAGCATGAGGATGAGCCATTTGTTGACGAAAAGAAACTCGGTTTTTATCTGCATATAATATGTATTCCTCTATCCCTCTTTATACGTCAAATAGAGGGCTTATGTTTGCTATTTTTGAATTTCTAGTTTCATAACCGGCTATCGATATATTCAAATTTTTGAGAAACTCGAAACGGTTGGTTTGTGTCAGCATGTAATTTGCTCCAAATATTCGATAGAGTTGGAGGGTCGGTAAATTTGGGAGGTACATTTATAATATTGGGTGAATATGCTCTAGGGGTTAGTTAATAATTATAACTATGCTTTGTTGAGGATGCTAAATGAGTTAACCGGATTCATGAGGTTCAAAGCCAGTCGTGTTGACCAAGTACTTCCTACTTCAATATGCAGCAGACTTTGGATAACAATAGACTCTCAGCAAAGAGGAACGTTAATATATGTCTTAATTAAGAATGGATCAATTTAAACTTCCCAAGATGCAACAGACTAATAAAACGAATAATGAAAACTCAAGCGGATAGCTACTATCTAATGGCTATTTTAGCACAATCGAATTGACCTTGCATATTCATAAGGCCCGCAAAAATATTGGGAAGCATGTGATAAGAATCTACCTATACCTGGCATTAATTTCAGTGCCGAAACCCCCTAGTGTCCAACTGTATTTAATTTCCGAACTTTTGAAGAGTATACCAATTATCCAAATTTTCAATATGGCAACAACCATCAACGTAATGTTTGTTATTATATGTAATTTTTAGTAATTACTTATTTGAGCTAGGTGGATTAAAAATATAGTAATTTTTATAACATTAGATAAATATTGTTCCAATATCAGCAGCTTATCATTTTGACTTTAGAAAATAACGCATAAATATATATAAGCATTCCAACTTGTTTTAGTCAGCTAATATCGGTTTTATTACCTAGAATATCATCAAACGGTGATTAGAAATAATATTTGGTTGCCGGAATAATTGCGAATATCTTTCAAGTAGCATAGTTATTAAACTTTGTAATAAAGATTTATTTCATATAAATTGGTTTTAATGATTTTATTCATGTCAATACAATCATCGATGGTTTTTAGTAAAATTAACAATAAATTACGTTCAATAGTATGTAATTCAGGCCTTTTTACATCTTTAGGAAACTAATCTACTTTAATAATGAATATCTTGAAGTTTTTTAGTTTATTAAAGTTTTGTTTCTTACTTTCTACTTATGGTCTCATTTTAATTAAATACCACTGGTTTTAAATACATTTAAGGATACCGTTAACCATTTTTTAGTTTGGCAAAATGAATCTCGTTTTGAAGTAAGGATTTTGGGAACATGCTCGATGTTGTACTTGTGAAAAAATAACATAAGATATTATTGCAATGACTCTCGAAAGCGCGTAAGTATACTTTAACCTTTCATAGGCCAGATTACATATTTATTAAAATGAAAATACAAATTTTCCTAGAATTATTCATAATAAACGATACATTATTCTTTAAAGTTTGAACTGTTGTCAATGTTTCTAAATTTGTCTTCTCTAGGCCACTCCTCCGAAATTGCTGTTTCTTCTCTCAAGGACCCTAAATATCTTGTGCATGCAATTAGAACATGCTCAGTAAGGAAGCCGTAGTGCATTTAAACAAAGAATTCTAATACTTTTTGCACTATTTCGGAAAGCCCTGTCTCTCTGTGCGAATATAATATATGCTTCTTTTGATATTTCACAAATCAGTGTGTACGAGAATCTTACCTCCACATGGAGCATCCTGGGCAACGCATACTCGTGCACCGAAAACGTCTATAAATCAGCAGTTAAATTATGATTTCAAACTATCATGAACCCACTGTATGTCATATTCTACCACTTCAAAAATACTCACCTTACTTTCTTCTCTACCTTTGTGTCTGTCTGTCTGTCTGTTTCCTTTACATTTCTGAAACACTTTTCTGCCCCATCCCCCACCCACTCTCTCTTTTGTGACCCTGTTGTTCCTCCCCTATGTGAATCTCGAGGTCAAATAATGGGTTAATGATAACTACCATAAAGCCTCCCATTTAATAGAAAGTAATATTTTTCTGCACACATTTACGCAGAATTTACTGTAAAACTAAAATCTGCAATGAAACATTTATTATGATCATCATAATATGCTGAATATCTTAAGTGGAGCGTTAAGCAGACCTTTCACTGAATCGATGCACTTAAGTTCATTAGAGGAGTTTTCCAATGTGCATCACTACGTTCATCGATTTAGAGGTAATTCTCAGTCTCGTGACATTACGATATAAGGCAACTCTCGCAGTGAATGACCCTCGAGGATTTACTCTATGAGATTGCCAATTTCAAATTTCAATCCGCCTGACTTTACCTTTATGTCATGCACATGAATCTTATCGTGTTTAAAAAGGAAGGTCGTTCTGTGGAAGGTTAATTGAGTTTCTGAATGACTACTTTCGGGTGAAATCAAGAGGCCTTGATGCACATTTGCCTCAATAGGTACCACAAGGCACATGTTTGCAGATTTGAATTACTTGAAAGGCTGACCTCCTAATATCTTTCGATGTAGGTGGATTGCGTAGTTTCCAGCACTTGTATTGAAATGTATGGCAGACGTTTCTAGGTACTTCAAATTACTTTCGTTCACATATTTGCTGTCAAATCTAGACAGATATCAATTAAAGGAATACATTCTAACTAAACATAATTGCTGATTAGCTAGCAGTGTAAACACATTGCAAAATATAATTTGATTGTCTGTGCCTAAATGGTTAATGTATTTTCTTCCAGTTGTTAAAATGAATTTGTCCTCAAATATGAATATTTCACCTTGATATGAAGTACATTTGGCTACCGAACTGAAATATTGGTTACCATGAATCAGTTTAAGTGAGCACAGCTTATGAATACTATCCTTCATATTTCATAATTTACGATAAAGATGTCGAGTACTAACGGCAATGATCCATTTATTGAGATATCGCGCATTTTGCCTCTCCTTCCGTATGGCGATCAATTAGATGACTATGCAAATATTGCCTCCAACGGATTGAAGGCGTCTCTAAAGCGACTCCTTTCTTCCAGCACGTACATGTCGCATCTTCTTGAATTTCCGGATTTAATTCACAAGTAGGCTTTCGTTGTTAATTTCCCACCAACAATCAACCCTCTTGTTTCCACTCGTTTTAGGTATATTGAGCAATTTGGAATGCGATTCACTAAGAAGGAGTTGATAGATATCATTAAATTTGGCCTCTCCATTGCATTCTGCCCCCAAGTGGACGACGTTAATTGCAATAGATGGAAACAGTGCGTCGCACTTCTATTGGGGTAAGTTTAGTGACAATGTTCTTCATAATTTCAAATTTCCGCAATAAAACAAGAGTTTGAGAGGCATAAATTATATTTTTAATTAATTTGTAATAAACGTTTATGGTCATTTTGTGTCCAGGTAAAAGTCTCATGTAAGTTTTGATTTGCTTGAGTGAAATAATTTTAAAGTAAATTATCAAAGGTTCATTTGACATAGTGACACACTTCTCTAAAGCGTGCACTTAATTATACTTGTAAAAGGTCAATGTGCCGTGCATAGACACTGTTTCCCAAGGACCAAACCGGCCCACAACGTCACACTACACCACCCTTTCACCATCTGCTTAGTTTTCAAGAGACAGGTCATTGTTCAGTGTACTTGTCATGTTTGTGATTTTTAATAGGGTTGTATTTTCCTTTCCGCTAATGTAGTAGAAGTCCCGCGCTTGATTCAAATCGTTTCGGTACAAATTTATAGCAAAGTGAGTTGTCATATGAGTGGGGACACCAGTTGATAGGATTTAGTTGTAACGAGAGAGAGAGAGAGAGAGATGGAGTGAGAGGGAGGGTGAAGTAGGAGAGGCGAATGTAAATGTAAAGTAAGTGTTTGGTAAAGAAGAATCACGGGTTGCAGATGACCACTTGAGCGCTATTGGGTGCTCCAACTCAATGACAACTAAAGCTAATCTGATGAAAAACAAACAGTTCGATCAAGCTGGGTTCGACTCTAAAATTATACTGTCATTATGATTGCTCCCGGTTTTTAAGCAACGCATGTTTTTTTACTTGATAGTCTTTCACAAAATTTCATCAAGAAGGAGGAACTGCAGCTGGAATGGAAGACTTTCCAAAATGCTTTCATGAGAGATTTAAATGAGTTTGGCATTTGCAATTACACGTATGAGTAAGTTCCTCAAAATTTGACCTTTAAGGCTAGTATTGACATTTGCATTGACATCTTGCTTAACTAATTTAGAATCACCCCTTTGGATTCAGAATTGATCGATAAAGCAAATAGGTGAGCATTTTATAAATTTGTCGGTGATTCGATCAAGTTGACATTTTGAGCCAAAATTTCACTTTCTCTTTTAGGTATTTTACTTCGTCATGTGTTCAAGAAATATGGGAATCTGAAAGACCACGAATCTACACCTCACTCACTACCGAATCATTCCATGGAATCTTTGACAATTTGCAGAGGTTTACTCCAAATCAATTGAGCCACTTTGAGCAAATTAAGTAAGCAAGTTGCAATTTTCTCAAAGTCAACGACATCAAGGCTGTAGTACGTAGAATCTTTTCCTCTTTTAGGCAAATTTGGTTGGGGGAAATTTTTCAAATGTGGTATCAATATCCTACTCCCGAACTTCATGTTGTAATAAGTCATATTTTCCCTTTTCAACCCTTGTTTTGTCGAAATAAACTCAATTTGACTTTTGCGAATTTCATTTCCTAGGCTGTGGTGAATCTTCTGGCAAAATATTCTCAACACTTTACCGGCCGATTGGACATGGAGCCTCATTTGGATCGTATTTTCAATTTTCTCATCACGTTCATTTACGATAAGAAGACTGACAAAGTTGCATTGTCGTCTAGTGCTGAACTGATTATCAATTCCATTGTGCCTACTTCGATTGTGTTCAGAATTTTGCGAAGGTTCCTCAAAGTGTGCAATTTGAATATCTGCCGGGTAATTTAAAGCTTTTCAATATTGATCTAACTAATGATACTAACCACTAACTTCTTGGTCTTTCATTTGAACTTACAGAACAGCAGCTTTTTTAGGTTGTTGGTTTCATATCGCTGTTCTCGAACAAACTCCATTTAAGATTTGTCCCCTAGTTTGAAAGTGGAGAAGTGGATTTGGGAGATTTTTAGCCGATTAAACTGGACGGACCCTGTGTTTTCCAACAATCAAACCAGCGGCAGTGATGTGTGGTTTCATGTTCTTGAAACCGGTCGAAAATAATTCTAAGGGCTTTCGCAATCCTACGAAAAGAATCGTTGCTTACCAAAGATAATTGTCCAGAGTGTCCAAAGTTAAGAAGAGAAATTTTAACGATTTGAACACATGGCTTCCATATTAAAATTCCTCTTTCGCAGCCTTAATGTCATGCAGTCGTTAGTTTTGTTTGCTTTTCATTATATTAGGTATGAATTCGAATAAAGGCCATGACAACTTCTTACACTATGGGTCTCCATGTTGCGTGTTTATTATATTACAATATCATTTTGATTCGCCTATTCTTTCAGTACGTTTCATAGCGCCTCTAAGCAGTCTTTTTAATAGGACATGAAAGAGGCTGTAAAGGCGAATTTTCCATTTTTTTGCTCCCAACTGATCTCATCCTTCTTCAAACGACTCAACTTTGAGTTCACCTGGATACCGGAAATGAAGGACCATATCGGTGAAGTTGTTGAATGGGTAGGTTTTCTTCCATTGATTTGTGCTTTTTTGTTCAATGGCTAATCAATATAATGATGGGAATCCCTGCTGAAAAGAGCACTTCATTCTTCTTAACCTGACATTTCCTAGTTCTGAATAAATATGCCACAATTTCTTCCCTAGGAAGTAACTTTAGTGAAAAAACATCTGGCAGGTAAAGTAGGTTTAAATAAAAGACGGATAAGAATAAAAATAGAGATAGAAGAGGAGATGAGACAGTGTGACTAGCATGATCCCAATTCTCTCAGCAGTGGATACGTGGATGAGCATGTCTCTTAAGCCAAACAAGCACCTCTATTCACCCCCCCCCTTCCATCCATAGGGTGCATCCTTTACATGTACACTACCTTCGTGCTAGAATACCACCATTTGGAATGGCAAGCTTATGAACCTACTGCTTCGTCTGCACTAGTAACTTTATTTCAGAGGATCAGTTAGTTAACATTTGTGCCCTTCCTTAACAGGTGAGACTTACAGTGGAGCAAGTGAATGAGTTTGTGGAAATTCTCCTGCCAATCTGTTTTGAAGATGAGTTCTTCCTTGCTGATAAGGATTGCGTCTGTGACGCAATGCAAACATTGGCTCTTTTGTGTCCACAAAGAGTCATCGTACGTGTCATAAACAGTTTAGAAGAGGCCTCCTTAACATCTAAAAGTCCAATTCTACTTATGAAGTCCGTCAAATTTCTGGCCAGTTGTTCAAACACATTTTTTCGTCCAAGCGTCTTTCCTATTTGGAATAACTATATTGGATTTCAACCCACTGACCAGCTTCAGAATTTTCCTCTTGACGATGTAAGTTATCATGTGTTCAGAAAACACCAAATAGCACAATTTTAATAATATCCTGTTATAATCTCCTTCTTCTTAATTTAAGCAAACTGAATTTCATATAAAGAACCCAAAACAAAGGTTTGCCTGTTTTGGTGCAATGATCTTCCCAGAATTTCGAATTCTGGTGCCAAAAGTCTTGGCTCTTTGTCTGGAGATCCTTTGTTGGGATCAGGAATATTACTTTCATGACTGTGTTCATATTCTCTCTCAAATATGTAAGTCGTCATGTGCTGTTTGGTTACCTTTGAATGATATGGACATAGTAAAGACATTAGATAAATAAATACACAAGTCCTTTTATTATTGATACTGGCTGGCACTTGAGAAAGCATGATATCTATTATTATGAAAGCCTCCAGTCCACTCAAGATCATCACCACTCAAGACAATCAGTGTTTCATGCTTCCAAACGCTACTATTCCTGCATCGTTTCATACTACAAAATTGCCCATCTCATTCTACCGCAATTTAAAATTGGGGTAGTAAATGAACTTATTAAATTAGAACTGATTTGGAGGGTGAGGGGGGAGGGGGAGGTGTTTGGGGGGGGTGAGAGGAGGAGGTGGTCTACTTCACAAAGTATTAGTCCAAAATCCAAGTGGTAATTGGAGACTTTAAAATTTTAAACGATGAAAACCATCAGCATACTACTTACTCTTTAGAGTATAAAATAAAAATCAAGTTAGCTTAATCAATCATGTCTGTCATAGTACACTCCCTGTTGCTTATTCTTACCTTTCTCACCTCAGTATTCTGCAGCTGTTTCTGGCTTAGAATTGGTTTTATGGGAATGTGCAGGGAACTCCGAAGCTCTCATAACGATCTCTTTCCCCATTATTTCCACAAAAAATACGAGGGAGATAAGTCATCGAGTCAAAAGGAAATCCTATCATATGTTTAGGCAGTTAAGACCCAAAGATTCATAGAAGCAGTCTTTCTTAAACTGTCGCAATCTTCTTACCTTTTTAAGGTCATTGCATGGTAGCCAGAAAACCGCAATACAAAATACCATGCGCATATAAAGTTTATTTAAGCGCATTTTTTTCAATTTCAGTTATGACTATGCCAATGAAATACATTTGGGGAATAAATTCGTCAGCGTCAATTTCGGTAACTGAAGATCTTATTCTGCGAATCTTCCGGTGTATCTTCAAATTAATGGGAACACAAAGCCGGCGTTACCAAGATTGTATTGAGACTCCACCACCTAAAATCATCCACGATTTGTCACTTCTAGCTATCTACATTGCAATGTCAGCTAATTCCATACCCAGACTTCGCGTTCATCTATTCCATGTCTTTTTAGTAATTATTCTACACACTCCCTGGAATCCAGCTGTATTCTCGAAATTTCCTGATATCCTCGTTTGGCTTCTTAGTGGGCCTCGTGTTGATTGCATTGATCCCTTCGAATCCGATACTGCACTCTACGCCCTCCGAATAGTCTGGCCACTTTTCCTACGCCTATATAGGTCTTTAAAAGCTAGTGAGTAGTGCTATCTTTACCTAGGAACTTGAAAAGTCGCAAGTACCACATTGACAATACCTTTTCGCTAAACAGGCAAATCTTTTAGTCAAGATGGTCAAGTAGAATTAAGATTAATACATCTACTGAACATACTGCAAGCCTTCTTTGTCATTTTCGTGCCTTCGCGCGTGGAGGAAGTGATGTCGAATTTCATCAATCCAGTGATTGATATTCTGCTAGATTTATGCAACGCATCTTTGGGCTATGGTGGAAAATGTTCGCCTTCAGTGGATCTCGCCAAATACGCGTCTGAGTGTCTTGGTGTGCTCCTCTACCGTCTTCTCACTATCTCTGTGGATTTCGAGGGAGTTGACCTTTATAATAGTGCGCAGTGCACGATAGACCCTTTGTGGACACCATTTGTTGGTTATCAAAAGGCCAAAGATCTAGTCAATTGGTGCCTGCCTACGAAGAGGACATTCACCACAGCCAAACGCATCATTAACAGGTTCTTAATATCACTACTAGAAAAATTAGCGTGTATTACGGATGAATTGAATGCCTACGTAGAAGATAAAAATCTTATAAACATACGTGTTCCACATATTACGGTTAGCTCGCAACAATCAGGCATTACCAATCAGCGTTTACATCTCACTTCTCTAATAACCTGGATCTGCAATATCTGCATCAATAATTTTGAGAATCTCAAACCACGAGACATAAGCCCCGAAAATGTGGATTGCGTCAACCAAATCTGCTCAGAGTTGGAACTGCTGAGATATGAGAATGCTTCTTGCCCCGAAATTGGTTTATCTTCCAGTGGATTTGAACTTGGCTTTGAATTCTTTGACTTCACTTCACCTAAGGACAATTTCACACTGAGGGATCGGATCTTTCAATGTGGCCTACGATTTCTTGACGTCATGGCTAAACTTTCTATGAAATTTGATATTCACATAAGCGATCCACCTGGTTGGTAATTTGCTAACTTTCTCAAGTCTTTTACTAATACCTTTGAAGAAATAAGACTTTTCTCATTGTGAATTTAGGTAGAAGTACGATTGAGAAGGTCATTGATCCCCAACATTTAAGATTATTCTTTAAAGTAGTAGTCTATGCCGGGCTCAATTATGCTGAATACACGAAAAACGAGACGCATGAATTCAATACTCACCCTCAGGTCCCGATTAAAAACTACTGTTTAGGATTCCACAGAGACTATATTGAACCTGAAGATGAGTTCCTTGGTAAAATTGGTCCATCAAGTGAATTGCTGGCACATCTAGCAAGAGGAGAAAACTCCTCTCTAAGACTCGGTGGTGATGGAGGAATTTATGGTGCTTCCTACCTTCCCATCGTCTGGTTAATGTGCGCCAGGCGGCAACACTTTGATTACATCCGCAGAGCTATTGGTCTGAATGCCGCCTGGAAGGCTACTGAAGCTCTTTCACTGTTTGCCAACCCAAGACTTTCTGCCAATCGGGAGCTCAATCAACTTGTTGAGACTTCTCTTAGGATCGCTCTGCATTGTACCAATTGGGACATGGAGGAGTTTGCTATGGATATCCACTATCTCACCTCCAATGAAGTTCCTGGGGTAAGAGTCCATTCTTTCACAAGACTTTACCAACTAATTTAAAAGAAAGTGGAATTCAAATTGTGGAGCTCCTTCTTCAGGATTTTAATTGCGAACTTAAGATGACATGCAAAGTTGAATGGAATGGCCTGCGAATTACCAGCTCGAATACACACTCAAATTTAGGAGGAGACGGAGGGGAGTGAGTGAGAGAAGGGGGAGGTGTTTTGTTACACTCAATGGTCGGGGGCAAGGCGTAGGCTTTCAGAAATCTTCTCCTGAAATATTTAGACAATTCTATTTGACTAAAAATTGCACAATTATTATTCACCTGGGATTTCGGAACATAATGCCAAATATCCTAATCTATTTATTGTACCACAATTCTGCTTTAGTGGGATATTTTGACTGGGCGATTGGAAAGGCAATAAGAATCCAAAGAAATAAAGAAGTAAAAAAGAGAGCTAACCAGTAGTGTGTGGATTATCATTTTGTTGTATGCACACTCGAATCAGGGTCTGGTTTGAATTTGTTTCTGCAAGGAATTCTTAGGTCTAGGTTTTACGCTCTTCTCAATATTCCACACCACATTTTTTGCTAGCGACGTCCATTTCTTAGCATTGAAACTTTGTGGATTGTCAATGTGACTCGATGATTTATCCCATATTTTTTGTATCGATGGCTCACTGGTTGGTATGTACATCCACCAAGTCCGAGGTCACATGCTAGATCCCCAATGCTACTCATTCAGCGATGCTGACGGTTAGCCACGGAAGTTGGTTGCGTGCATTTCATCGATGCTACAATTTGAACTCAAGTGGATTGCTTTACTCACTTTGTAAACGAATTGAAAGGGAGGTGAAGGGTAGAATAAACCTCAGAAATGAAGGATTTCCTTTTCAAGGTTATCCCCTTTGTTAGTGAGTATTTGGCCGACTGACTTTCTGGGGAGGGGGAGGACAGGAAATACTTAATTTTTATAAACGGATCAGATTTAGGGAGGAACAAAGAGTGGAAGGAAAATTGCAGCATGCTCGACAGTTCCATTCCAATAAAATTTACTTCAAACTGTGATGATAATATTGATAATTTATGCCACTGTGCTTGTCATCCTCGCAGCTCATTTCTTCTCTTTTCAATTAGGCGACTACCTCGTTGGCACGTGTGTTTACGGACTTCATGAAATCCTGTTTAGAAAGTGATATTTTCGTCAAAAGTGGTTCTAATTATCGAAACTGCATTTTCCGCCTTAAACGGGTTGTTCGGATCATTTCCTTACTTGTTTCAAAAACACCCTTCTCCTTTGAATTGTACAATGATGACCCTAAACTATGGTCGCAGATGTGGGCTGCACTCCTGAAACTCTGTACGCGTTCAAATTTCACCAAAACATACCTCAATAATAAGGAGCTTCAGGATAGATTTAATGATCAAATTGAGTTATCTCAACTATACTTAGAAGCGATGTATACTCTTGAACTACACCAATTCACTCTCCATTTCCATGCGTCATACGAACTCGAAGCACACTCAAAGAGCTCACCATTAAGACATCTCATCCTCTCTGCTCAACAGTTGCTCATAACTCTAGGCGGTTGTAAGGAGACAATTGTGAAATTCAGGCCACTTCTCCTAGAGAAGACAGCAAAACTTCGTCGAGATGCCCATAGGCACCTCATTCAAGTAATCGATGAAGAGAACATAATGAACGACAACTTAGACTCCACTCCAACACGTCTTATTTTCGAATTACTGTCACTTATTTTTCAAGCTGATCATTGGAATACCTACTCCATTAATGCCGCATTTCCAGATGTAGAATTATTTCGCAAGGTGGCTCCTCCACCATCCATACCTTCTTTAATAACCATCAAAACGGCTCTCAATCATCTGTCCTCTGATAACAAGGAGCTCTCATTTGCAGCTTGCAAATTTATTGTCAATTTTTTGCTAGACTATTACTTGAGAGCACGAGAAAGAAAGTATGTCTGCATTGATTGGAGATCAGTTGAGATACCGGAGAAGTGTGTAGGCCTTGAAAACGAATGCCGATATGATTGTCTTGCTTCCAAAAACTTTACCCTCAGGAATCATATCTTGAGTCTGATTGCTTCTCCCAAGTAAGTGAATGTCATTTTTCTATAATTGTTTTACCACTTCCAGTTATTTTGAACCGTCTTCTGTCTGGATGGATCCTTGTGCGTCTGCAGTGTTTCCTACCTTCCTTGGTTCACTCGGGAATGTATTACAAGTGGACTCTAGTAATAAAGAATGGCTAAAATTTCGACCTGAAATCGATTTATCCGAATTAACTCCAAAGGAAATCTTGAATTGGCAAAATGGAATAAAAGTAATTGCCGAGTATTTTACTACACCTACTTCTTGGACCCAAATCAGCCAAACTCTTCTCAATTCTTCTAGTTCCACCTCAAAAGAACTCATTAAAGCACTGAAAATACTCATTCAATTTATACTTTTGGCTTTTGGACCTTATCCATACTTGCAGAGGGTTGAAGAATTCATTATGTCTCTCCTCCAACCTGCTCCAAAGCAAAATACCAAAACAAGCATTCAAAAACTTTCCGGGCCGTCTCTTGTAAATGAGATTCTCTACCATGTGGCAATTGGTTCCAGTACTTGGTCGAGAGATATGAAATTAGAGCTCTATGGGCGAGTTTTACCTCGACTGATTTTGAATGCCGAATCAGCATCACAGCATTCTTCAATGACTGTTAGTTTTAACACCAATCCGCCATCTACACTCGGTCTCATCAACGATTCATCGGCACAATCAACCAAATGTGATGTGGATACTGGTATGCTTATTACCCTAGACAGTAGTTCTAATGTGTGCACTTTTTAATAGAGTTCTGTTTATTGATCAGCTGCTACGACCGAATCCATTTCGAGTTCTCAAGAGGATACTGAGGAAAGTCCAGAAAATTGTCGTCTTGCCAATGCTATCCGCTTTGGTGATTGGGAAAATGATGAGGCCCAATGTTCCCAAGAGGAGAATATTCCTGATCATTGCGATCACAGTACTCAAACTTGTTCCCCAATCTCCGAATTCATAAGAAAATTTACCGTTAAATCCATTGAATTTATCTATTTGCCCTACATATGGAAATGTTTTAGCAAGCTCGCTTCAATTGGAAATGTAGACCTCATTCCAGATGTAATTCATTCATTTCACCTTGTTTGTGGCTCTTTCAAATTTAGTAACTAATCACTTTTCATGCCAATTAGATCGGAGATGCGGAATGTTGTCATGGTATGCCTGGAGGTGATGGGATGTGTCCAGTATGTGTTGGTTGTCGTCTGTTTCCTCGAGTGGATCAGCGTCGTGATTTGAAGGAGAAAATGATGGTCGAGCTTTTAGCTGTAACGCATTGGGATGCTATTAACCTGATCAATCATTTCACGGACATGGGGATGGAGACGTGGGAGAAGATGGTCTGCAGAAATGCCTTGAGTTCTCCACAACTAGCCATGGCAATGTCCAACGTCTTTGCAAGGGCTGATTTCAATAGGATTCGAAACACTGCTCCCCCTACAATTCGGTTTTACGATAATGATAGAGATGAGCCTGAATTCTCTCAACACCAAATTGAGTCACCACTAGTGACCGAACTCATTTATCCCTTGTCTGAATTTGAAGCACCAAAACTGAAAGCTATGTCTCTCATTGGTCCAGATTTTATAATGAAGCGGGTAAGTGAGCTTATGCTGAACAGTCGTACAAGAGGGAGTTTTGGGATTTCGATTAAGTCACATCCACGAAATATGTTCAGAAAGACCTCGAGTTCTTAGTAAATGAGGTCGATTACTGGTAATTGATTGCATCTGACAGTGATTGGTATCGACGATACCATCTTAGCAAGAAAATGACCGGTCAAGCACTTTTAATGTCTTTTTAGTATTTACCCCTACTGGTAAGGGATGTGATGGCTGATCTTCTGCTCAAAGGTGTTCAACCTTCTGCGGCTAGTTTTGCCCTTCAAGACGATCTCCTTTCCAAAGCACCTGAAAACATTACACCCGCAACAGAGGTGACGAATATTTAATGTTTTCCTTTTACCCCATTGAAAGGATGCGTCTTTTAATGCGCTTTCGCCTTATAGGAAATAATGAAGTTCACTCAGCATACAAAATTTACTTTGGAGAGGGCAATTGCTCCTCGAATTGGACAGATGTTGGAATTTCTAACAAAAAATATCTGGTCTGCTTATCCCATTAATGCTCTTCCGAACACCTCCTTCAATTCTGTCTTCGATGTACTTTGCCGTTTGGCACCTCTTTTGGCAGATTACATCCCCATCATGAAAAGAGATAAGGATGACTACTCCATAAGTACCCAAATCTCAAATCTACTCACTTCAATCCACAAAAGCACTATACTAGGTCACACCAATACTGATTTGGAAATAACTCAAGCTGACAGAATGTTGGAGTTCCTAGATGCATTTCTGTTGCATGAAAGTCATCAAACACGGGAATATGGTCTGCAAATGATGGAATTGCTTAGGATTTATTATTTCACATTCTGGAAGAGGAACGATACAGCTAATGTCTTAAGATACCACCTAAGGCAAAGTCTTTGCAATCTTCTCAAAGATTCCTCCATCGATGTGGCCGAGGCTGCATTCATGAAACTCTCCTGGGCTCTGGAATGTGAAATAATTGAGTACAATGAAGAGTGGTTCAGTGAATTGAAAGAACAATCTCGAGAAATCAATCAGAGTGAAATGGAGGAAGATAGGGAAGCAATGTTGAGGAGTCACCGTGCTGGTGTTTTAGGTCTCTGTTCAATCATTCGGGCTAATCCAACCCATGTCCCAGACTACCTTCCAGATGTGATTGTTGAAGTAGCGAAGCATGCCACAGATCCTCATCCTATTGGCCAAATAGTCACCACAACCTTGAATGAATATTATCATAAGGTCTTCACAGTTCTAACGTCTGAGAATCGAGAAAAGTTCTCTTCTAAGCAAATTAAGGTAATCGAATCACTTATTTCTTGAGATTGCAAACGCACATCAAATATTATACGATTTTCAGATTTAACTCAGATCTTATCAACTATTGATCTAACAATTACGAACACTTTTGCTGCAATATGGCTTATAACCTTCCTTGTTTACAATGTTGTATTCACTTTGCTTTCATTTAATATATTTTCTCTTATTAAATTTGACTGTAGATTGTCATGATTTTTGTTCAATGACAATTGTGGTATAAAAGAGATGTAACCTTCCTGCTTAAAAGCACAATAAAACTGATTAGTAACTCTCAACTTAGCTGATTGATAGAATATCATCTGGATGAAAGCCAATTAACCCCATTGGTAATAAAATAAGAGTTCAGCAGTTAAAGTTTGTAGAAAGAAATTAGCTCAAATAGTTATAGATTGAATTCGATTGAAATGAAAAGACTAGATTTTGCAGACATACTGATAATATTTCAACTCGACACACACACACACATTTTGAGTAATCTCTGATGCATAGATCCATAATACTAGTCCCAAAATAAGGCGGATATACATACCTATAATGACATCTCCATGAAATCACTATCATCGTTTTGAAATTCACTAATTTATATACAAGGTAGTTATATCTATTAAATAGGGGTGTGCGATAGACTTACCTCCATTTGAAATAAATAAATAAATATTTATTAAATAATCATGGCTTAAGATTCGTGCAACTCGTTCCAATATTGACTAACTACCTTTCCTAAACCTCGCAGAAAAGTGTTCAATTGATCATTCCATAAAGTCGTCCAAAAATGTAAAATTTGTTCTAACCTGAGTTAACCAGGAGCGCAATGGTCACTGTTTCATAACAGCTAGAAATACTACCTGCTCTTGTATCGGGACCTGCGTTACTATATGAATTAGTTTCTTTTACTTTGCATCTCTTTGAAGCCAACAACGATGGGTATGATGCCTTGGAAATCGCCTTCAAAGTTCTTCTTTTCAAAAATCTCGATAAGTGAGGGAGGGGAGGGGGTGGGTAGTTTGTCTCCTTGAAAACCCGGTTTCCTGAATACATAGTTTTAATCCTGACTCATTTTAATGAATGACACACTATAGATCTCAAGTTGTTGAGTGAAAACCACTTAATTTAGCGCGGAATGATATAGCGATAAAATGGTAAACAGAAGCAAAGATAAGTATTCAGGATTTGGAAATAGAAACTAAGGGTAATATTATGAATTAATCATCTGGATACCAATAAGTTAAATTATTGAATTTTGACATTTGAATAAATTTATGCATCTATTGAGGTAAGGCCAGATGTGGGCCCATGGCGACTTAGAAAGGACCACTTTTCAGTACTACCTGCTGCTCTATTTATGATTGTCTCGAAATTCTTATACTCCCTCGAACTCAATTGGGACAAAGGAGATAAGAGAAGATTTTCAATTTTCTCCATTTCTGCTCTACAACGCACATGTAATTAGACACAATATTTCATTAACTTAGTTTCTTTCAAACAAAATTGATAGACATCTCGTGAATAATTTACATTCGAGGAATTTAAAATGCCTATAGAGAATTGACCAAATTTCTGCTCTAACAGAATGTGAAGCACTTGGTCCTAAAAATTCGCAATAAAATGCAGTGGTGGTAGATGATTTTAGAGAGGGAGAGAGGGGGGACAATGCTGCCAGTTAAAATACCAACAGAAAGAAATCTTGATTGAAAAGAATCGTCTCTTCTTGACGTTTCGAGCCCAAATAGAAGTGAAGTATCGACAAGACGGGTAGGCAGTGGTTCGACAAAATGGCGTAACTTATTGCTGAAAGTGGGTAGGAAGTATGACCATTCAGATATACATTGGTTCTGATTTGTTGAGAACAATTATTAAAGCTGATTAAAATGTCAAGGCTCTCAAAATGCGCAAATGAATATGAACGAGTGGTGTGTACAGTTGCATGGCCAATTTTGCTCTAAGATTGTCTCCTTGATTAAAGCGGATGGCCTGCAGTTACGACAAGTTTCGACAAAGAATCATGGAATGTGAATAGGGTCACCTTGAGAGAACTGAAGTATTAGTCTTCCAATTACATGCTAGCAAATGTTTCAGTGTACACTCAAGCAGCTTAAGCGATAATGATAACCAAAATAAGACACCAGACAGTAAAACAAACTTTGCTTCTGCAAAAGCAACAGTGACTGAAGTAAAAAAGGATTTTATTGTGTCTAGCATTCAAGACAGGCTGAAAGAGCCCTAAAAGCGTGAAGACTTGTATGAGTTTTACTAATGGCAAAGCCACTCTATACTTGAAAGCTTAGTCTCCAGACGTTTGCCTTCTGATCTTAGCGGACTTCCTCAAATTTGTTTTGAATGAATGTGATTAAAATATTGAGTTGTCGTTCCCTTCATTGCACTTATATTCACTTCAACTCATGCTTGATTGGGGTTCGGAATGACAGGTGAACTAGCGCAATCTCAAATAAAGCCGATTAATTCCCCATATTCACCATCGTAAGTAAACAAATAAGCAAACTTATTTGAATTGAGGTGCTTCATGGCTCTTTGGAGTTTCTCGCAGAAGTATCCGACTCTCAAGTCGGCAAACGACCTAATCCGCATTGATTCGAAGCAAAAAGTACAAGTAAGTTATGACATTCGCTATTTGTCAAAGTCATAACTCTGCGAGAATTAATCAGTGTCACGTGGCTGAACCAAACACGGCGCGGGAACGCCTGCGCTTGGGTGTTGGTAACCCATCTAAATCGAGTTGACATGACTAAATCCCAATTTTGACTGAACAGACGTTGACAATCGCAAAATCCACTTGAGAGTATGACCACCTCTGGGCTCCCATAAACCCGACAATGAAAGTCGCCTGATGTTCCGACTTGATTGCCTTCCCCTGCGCGATCATTATTCCTGTCTCAGACCTTTGTCTAATAAACTCCTCCGCCCATTCAGAAGCTTCTCATCTTCAAATTGAAGGTAGTTTTGCCCTGGCGTTGGCGATAGTAATATATTTCTTGTAGGTACTTGGTAAAGCCTAATTCCTACCACACAGTTACATGTCAATCGCCTCATAGTGGCATGTTTAAAGGTCATGTGTGGAAGCTAATATCCAGGTTATGATGACTAAAAAATTAAAATTAATGGGTGTTAACGTTCACAATAAACATATCAGTTCAATTTATGTTGAAATTTCCGTCAAACACTACAAAGTGCACTTTACATTATTCAATGGGATGACCTGACATCATGCGAGGCTGAAATAATTTGACGAATATAACGTGGAAAGGAAGAGTGAGATACGATTAAGGAAAAAAGGCACGTCTGAAATTACTGTTCCGCTAATTTCCGCTTTCGGAGATAATCCCATTTCTACTTCCACTTTCACCGCCAAACATTAATTCGTAAAATGTTAAATTTTAAACCTACAATGATAAACTTCTCCATCGAATCATTGCAATCATGTTTTTCAATATGCATATGAAAATATACTGATTAAGTACATAAAAGAGCAAATGTTTTCATGGAAAAAATTTATTTAACAGGACAACATAATATTCAAATGTTAGATTATACATAGCAATACACATACGATGTCATAAGCAAAATTAGGAGGAGAAATTCTTTTGTCTATTGACTCATTAGTAAAAAGGCATATATACAATTTCCTAATTTACATTATGATTAATATTGCCATAGCTTTGAATAAAAATCTGTAGATAATTGGTCAAGGTTTCAGAAAATTTATTTTCAATGATTCCTTTGAGAAGATAAATAGGAATTCCAAAAAATTTAGACTCAGTCCATTCAAGAATTTTTGCTGTTCCATTAACTTGAAGATATAATCCCGTTACGACGGTCACACTCACCGCCAACTTTAAATGTTTGACTGATAATATTCCGCTGACAAAGCGCTATTAAAAGAAAATGACGCAAATTTTTCCATTAAAACACTTTTAGTTGTGTTTTTAAGCTTGTGAAAGAGGTACACAAATTAAATACTTGAAAATTTTCTATCGAAAAATTTATTTAACGGGTAATCAAACGCGCGTATGAAGCTCGAACTCTTAGGTTATCCATAGCAAAGCATGTGTTGATAACATAAGTAATATTAGCAGGAGAGATTTTTGCGGCTACTGATATAAGCCCCCCATCTGACAATATATACCAGCCCGAGAACTTGAGCACCTTTATCGCCCTGACCAATTATATATGAGGGCGCATCAAGTAATATGCTATCGATCACTGTTTCCGGAGTGGATACTATTGTGTTTTATTAAAAATATGAGCAGATTGACTTACTGTGTGCCGAAACAAGAATGGGAAAAATCCAGAAATAACGAAAGCCAGAACTCGAAAATTGAGACCGCATTTATGGCGAAACACTCGAGAAAACTGGCCATAAAAAGAAGACAGGGTTACAAACACACAAAAGACAAAGTGTAGATATTTGGATTTTACATTTGCATAACACTAATAACATTTGCAATGCTATTTTAATTCGAATAAATCCATTATGAAATCATACTCTCAAGTGGATTTTGCGATTGTCAACGTCTGTT